TGACGGGTAAAAGCAAATCGCTCGCTCAAGAACTTTCCAACCTTATTGTTGCAAAACATACTGATGACATTGGTTACAGAAAGATTTCTAAACTTCTGAATGTTCCAGTGAGCACTGTTGGGGCCATAATCCAGATGTGGAAAAAAAAACATTTCACCATAAACCGACCATGATCAGATGCTCCCCACAAGATTTATGACAGGAGTGAAAAGAATTATCAGAAGAGTTGTTCAAGAGCCAAGGACCACTTATGGAGAGCTTTAGAAAAACCTGGAATTAGCAGGTACAAATGTTTCAAAGAAAACAATAAGTAATGCACTTAACCGCCATGGCCTGTATGCGCACTCACCCGCATGACTCCATTGCCGAAGAAAAAAAACATTTTGAAGCTCGTTTAAAAGTTTGCTGCACAACATTTAGACAAGCCTGTGAAATACTGGGAGAATAGAATCTGGTGACATGAGACCAAAATTAACTCTTTGGATGCCATACTACACACCACATTTAGGTCAAATGGCACTGCACATCACCCCAAAAACACCATCCCAACAGTGAAGTTTGGAGATGGGAACATCATGGTGTGGGGCTGTTTTTCAGCATACGGTATTGGCAACCTTCATGTCACTGAATGAAGGATGAATGGAAAAATGTACCAAGACATTCTTGATAAAAATCTGCTGCCATCTACCAGGATGATGAAGATAAAACGAGGGTGGACATTTCCATACAGGAGGGGTCTTGAAGCGGTCATTATTAACAAAGAATTTTGAAGGAAGTAATAAATAAATTTCATTTAGCATGTTCAATACTTTTTTCCCCTGTGTTATTCCATTTTATTACACAACTTAATTTCTCAACTTATATGTTTTATCTTTGTATGTATGGATTGCATGGGTTTTTACAGATGTGGTGAAAATTTCATGTCAATAGCATCTTTAGAAATATTTTTAATGAGAAAAAAAAGGGGACATGTTCAATACTTATTTACCTGCTGTATTTATGTATATTCTTAAGCAGTAAAAGAGCCATCCCTCACTTCTGTAACAGGTACTGTCAATTCATCCTCACAAAATGAGCCCCAAATTCAGCCCTCAAACACCATTTGTTTGTTTACTTTCAAAATCTGCCAGAGAAGACATAGGGAGAGGAGCTGCCTTTTCATAAGGCCCGTTGTGACCGTTAAACATATATTGGTATTGTGGTGTATGTAAATATATCTCAATGTTCACATGAACTACTTTTCACCTGTAATGAGGGATTCTTGCAAAGAAATTAAGAAAAAAAAAAAAACACCCACAGTAATTGCTATTGCTGGAAGATGGTTTATTGAAATACACAGGCAGATTTGAGATGTAGGCAGCAGAAGACACATTCACAGTTTAAAAGTTCAGTGCTACACCCGGATGGATATTCTCCCTGAGCCAGAAATGGACGTGAACCATCTGTGTATGCAAGGTTGGCTTCTGTGTTTACAATGCACAAACCCAAAAGGTGCAGTCTACAGGGTAGTAGAATAGCCTAGCTGCAGCCTTGGAGGTTTGGGCATCACCCAACTTGCAGCAAAGTGGTACGCACCCATATGTAACAGAAAGTCAATAATTGAAGCATTATTCCAAAAGTAATCTTCCTTTGTTGTATAGTAATGTATTGGCATAAGACAATTACACAAGGTATTTGTAGAAATACAGAACAAGTAACAAATGGGCAAAAAGCAGCACACATTTTAAAAAAAAGTAATAAAACAATGGTGCTGGACAGAGTACTAGCAATCAGCATATGTATGACGAACCTGGCTTTGGGATATTATCCTACTATAAAGAATTCTCCCTACTGCATTTCATGGTAGAATGACTAGTCAGACCTTGTGTGTAGGAAAAGGCTGTAACGAAAGGCCCTGCCGCTATAACCAGCTGTTACAGACATTACTGTAGTAGTATAGAGACATTTTATACTCAGACTGTCACAGTCTCAATACCTGGTATTCATCACTGTTCTAACAAACAAATTGTTTATTGCCTCAGATTCTGTTTAAATCTAGAGATCAGATGTGTGTCTTCCCAACCACAAACAAGTAAATGGCAAATATCTTTTGGCTGATCACACAATAACAGATTTACTGTAATCCCGGTTTCTCAGTCAGGCCCTTGCACTACTTTAAATATGGTTGGTAGAGCTTAAAAGGAGATTGTACAGTTTGACTGTAATGCATCATAATATCTTTGTGCTGTTCTGGGATTCCATAATGAAGTGCTCCATAAACACATTAGTAAGTAACCCAATAATTAAGGTGGTTGTAGTCCAAAAGTATTGGAACTATTACAGACCATGCTGCTTGTGATTATTGCATGAGAAATGATGTTTCACAAGTCATACTAAACAGAAATGTAAAGCCTTTTAAACACATTAGGTTTAATGAAGTGCATGTATATTTTTGCACAGGTCTGCCTTAGAAAGCCACAGTGACTTCCTGCCACTCCTGGAAGCGTTGTTTATTCCTACTGTGTCAGCATACAGAGTAGACATACAGATTAAGGGACACACACACACACACACACACACACACACACACACACACACACACACACACACACACGAAGTCACCCCCCCCTTCCCCACCATCCAGTTTGGAAAGGCAGTACTACCCAACAAATATGGCCTATTCAATTGAATAAGGCTGCACTGCAACTGTGTATAACCACCAGTTGTTTGGATTTTGGGGGTAAAACAAGTGTTGAGGAGGAAACATAAAACACCTACTCACCACCTGTCAACCATCCTCTAAAATGCAATCCACCACAGATTGCTCAAGAGGACGATGTATAAACAAGCCCATAATGCTGAAATCCAGTCAAGCAGCTAATTATACAGCTTAAATATATGGGAACTATTTTACCTAACAAAAACGGTCAGCCAGTCTTGTAATCCAGACAACACAGCCAGATACATGACCTCCAATGCAGCAGAATCATAGCTAGGTCAAGACATCTCAGCCTGCTGATTGGACAGTGAAGGAGCAGCAGCACATTGAGTTATCCCTCTGCTCTCTCCTGTTGGAAGTACATGTGTACTGCACTAGAGCCTGATCTGGCTTATTGCTGATGTTTAGGAGATAAAAGCAACCCAGAAGCAAGAAAAATTTGGAACATCAGTTTAAAGTTGTTTTGTTTTTTACCACATTTTTTTTTTGCCTGGAGTTAAGCTTTGAACTAGCCACAGTAAGGCAGATATGTGCCCAGCTAAGACCAGCTTATGATTCCTCACTTGAATACTGAGCACTAGGACCCATTCATAACGAAAAGTAGCACACACTTCTGGTTCTTTTAACCTTCCCTCTTCTACTAAGAAGGAAATAACGAACAGAACAGTAGGGAGATGTTCTGTCAAATTATACAATTTTAGGACTTGGAACAGGTTTCTCGGACTGCTTAAAAGGACCACTCCAGGATGATTCCAAAAAATTAACTACCACATAACTACACATAGTGAACATTCACTCAAAAAAAAAAAAAAATTAAGGATAAAGGGGGCAGATATATGCAAATGCTAACATGCATGTGACAGAAAGCAAGCGAGGTATATAAGCAAATGTGCTGGCAGACCAGAACTTCTCATGCACATCAGGTACAGCTTGAGAGTCACCTCCAAGCGATATACAGGCACTAAACAGCAATTCATACAGCAAAACATGACAATCAGTTAAAATAATCACATGGCTAAAAGGTCTGGTTCACAAAAACCATCATCATCAAAACCCTATAGCATTTACCCAAAACACCTAGGGGTGGACTGATATTTAAATGAAGACAATCAATTGGCTTTTTATCTCTGTAAACTTTGAAAGCCTTTTGATATGTAACCGAGTTTTCTGGATTGGATAGCAGTAGGGCAAAGCCACTGGATACATTTCTCAAAACTGTTCAGAAACAGAAGTTCACTTGTGCTGGTGTTTTTGTTTACAACAGGAACAGATATCAAAATAATTGCCCAGTTTTATCTGTATAACCCCAGAAGTGATTTCTACCCCTGCATAAAAGTGACAAAGTTTAAATGGTAGAATATGTTGCAGTTGTGAGGTCAGATAGCAGTTCCCAGCGGATAAATATAAAGCTGTGTAGACCAAATGGTTGTCTTTTGATAGTTTCAACTTTCCTGTCCAGCCATTTAAACTAAAATAATTAAAAATATATTCTGAGCATATATAGCTTTGTGAAGTCCTGATGAATCACATTTCATAGGTTTTCTAGTTTACCTTTGCAATAATGACCAAGTATCCTGCAAAAGAGGTGGAACTTGCTTCACTGGACGCGTGCAATGGAAAAGTCTGGTGTTTAAAGATGTAGAATAACAGCAACAATAGCGCCATGTAGAACGACATGGAGCACAGCAGGCATCCATTCCTAAAGATGTTTGTAAAACGCAACTGCGGCGTGTGCATAGACTAATGGAAAATCAATGGGAAAATTATTATATAGAGCAAGAATAAACACCTACCCAGTGCATTCTTATGATTGTTCTTAGAGGTCCTGTCTCTGCCAAACAGTGAAGACAGTTATTCCGTAGACTAGTTACCAGCCTATCCCTATTGAGAAGGTAACTCACCAAAAAAATATAGATGGATTTCTAGCAGTCACCAGTACCAAAAACATTGCCCATTCACGTATTCTATTTCAGCAGTGGCACAAGTATGCAGTAAAGGGACAGGCTGTCTTCTCAGAATGGTCACAAAATGAGGATTAGAATGTGTAAGTGTGACAGGTACACTTAGACAAAACATAAAAACTGCAAGGATATACAAACCGAGTTGAGTAGCAGCTTAAAAAACATAAAACCAGTGTCAAACAAACAAAAAAAGAAAAAATAATATATGTACAGGCAGCACATTTGGCTACTTCTGTTGCCACAGGTTAAAAAGATAACATTCTGGCTCATTCACAGAATGACTCCCTCACAGACCTCTGTCTGCAGGTCCTAGCAGTGCTCTGAGAATCCGAATCACATGCTCAGTAGAAATGTTTTCGACTTCTTTCCTGCCACTTGTTGTATACAATGAGCAAGATGACACCGGCGAAGACCAGACCAAGCAGAGAAAAAAAGACAATGAGGAAGATGGCAAAATTGCTCATAGACTCCGAGGGATCATCAACTGAAATGGATAAGAGGAAGATACATGGATTGTTAGAACAATCACACAAAAGAAATATGGCAAAGAAAGCAAGTGAATTTTGTGGTCACCTCCTGGTAACTTCATGTTGTCCACACTGGGGATGAAAACTTCTTTGTCCATCTTCTCCTCTGCAGGGGTACGCTCCACAGTGATCTGGTACAATTTCATTGATATAATGTCGTGGTTATCTGTGTAAAAGATTCAGATACAAGATATAACAACATGAGAGAAGCTGCAAGATACTATGGTTTGAAAAGGGAACCTGCTAAATGGTTTTTAAATGTGCAGGTTAAGTGCCTGTCTTGGCTGTGACACCTTAATTTTTATCAAACATTAACAGACCCAATGCTGACTAGTGAACACAGCATTCACAACATATTTAAAAGCTATAGAAAAAGTTCACGCTCAAGGAAAAAAAAAAAAAAAAAAAAAAAGGAAAAAAAATTATAATAATATTCTCATAATAATAATAAAAATACCCCTATCGGCCTATAGCCAATATGAAAATAGGAGCCGATACAGGTGGCCGAAAATAGCCGCGGTATTATTTTTTCAGTCAGCGATTCCCCTTACATAAAAGTGTTCTGAGCTGTGGATTCCTTGCTTTTAGAAGCAGCGATAAGCGCGCCCCCCCCCCCCCCCCCCCCCCCCCCCGGCCTTCCGGTGGTTCTCAGGCTTACCTGAGCGATCAGTAAGCCCGAGAACCCATCCAACGATCCCGGCAGCTGTGCATGGCCTCTACTCATTTCTATGCCCTTGGAGGAGCGGAACGCTGTCATTACGTCACTTTCGGCGTAATGTAAACAAGGCCTTTTTTTTTTTTCCCTCGAATGCTTTACATTGTAGAGGAGAGATGTGGGGTCTTATTGACCCCAGAGCTCTACATAAAGAGGACCGGTCACTGTTTTCTTCTATCACAAGGGAGGTTTACATTCTTTGTGATAGTAATAAAAGTGATCAAAAACAAGGGAAGGAGGCTTTAAAAACATGCCCCCGCCACCCCCCCATACTCGCACGCAGTGAACACATACATAGGCCACACCCACATATGTCAACAGTGCTCAAACCACACATGAATGTCTGAGCAAGAGCAATAATTCTAGCACTAGACCTCCACTGTAATTTTAAATTGGTAACCTGTAGAAATTTTTAAAGCCTCACCCATGGAGATTTTTAGGTACCGCAGTTTGGCACCATTCCATGAGCGCACATAACTTTAAAGCATGACATGTTGGGTATCCATTTACTTGTCATAACACAGGGTACTGCATTTTCTTTTCTTCTAATCTGGCCACTTGACCTAAGCAAGATTTACCTCCTTCATGACCAGGTTATATTTTGCTATATGGCGCTGCGTTACTATAACTGACAATTGCGCAGCCATGCAAAACTGTACACCAATGAAATGCTTGTAATTTTTTTGCCACAAATAGAGTTTTCTTTGGTAGTATGTGATCGCTGGGTTTTACACTATGTAAGAGATCACAGAAAAAAAAAAAAAAAATCTGCTTTTATTTGTATTTTTTAAATTCATAATCATTTAAATTCATGATATTAAATAAAAAGTTGAAAACAATTACATATAAAAAAAATATACTTTTTTAACACACACACGCCAAAAGTATTGGGATGCATGCCTTTACATGAGCTTTAAATGGCATCCCAGTCTTAGTCCGTAGGGTACAATATTGAGTTGGCCCACCCTTTGCAGCTAAAAACAGCTTAAACTCTTCTGGGAAGGCAATCCACAAGGTTTAGGAGTGTGTCTATGGGAATGTTTGACCATTCTTCCAGAAGAGCATTTGTGAGGTCAGGCACTGATGTCGGATGAGAAGGCCTGGCTCGCAGTCTTAGCTCTAATTCATCCCAAAAGGTGTTCTATCGGGTTGAGATCAGAACCCTATGTGGGCCAGTCAAGTTCCTCCACTCCAATATTGTGAAAAGGTGCAATATTCTCGGCTCAAAGTGTCCCACTCTAATCAGCTAATTAAGCCAGAACACCTGCAAAGGGTTCCTGAGCCTTTAAATGGTCTCTCAGTCTGGTTCAATAGGAATCACAATCATGGGAAACACTGCTGACCTGACAGTTGTGCAGAAAACCATCATTGACACCCTCCATCAGGAGGGAAAGCCTCAAAAAAGGTAATTGCAAAAGAAGTTGGACGTTCCCAATGTGCTGCATCAAAGCACATTAATAGAAAGTTGTGTGGAAGAAAAAGGTGCACAAGCAGCAGGCATGACCGCAGCCTGGAGAGGATTGTCAGGAAAAGGCCATTCAAAAAAGCGTTGGGGACTTTCACAAGGAGTGGACTGAGGCTGGAGTCAGTGCATCAAGAGCCACCACACACAGACGGATCCTGGACATGGGCTTCAAATGCCGTATTCCTCTTGTCAAGCCGCTCCTGAACAACAAAAAAAATGTCAGAAGCGTCTTACCTGGGCTAAAGAAAAACAGACCTGGTCTGTTGCTCAGTGGTCCAAAGTCCTCTTTTCTGATGAGAGCAACTTTTGCATCTCATTTGGAAACCAAGGACCCAGAGTATGGAGGAAGAATGGAGAGGCACACACTGCAAGATTCTTGAAGTCCAGCGTGATGTTTCCAGTCTGTGTTGATTTGGGGAGCCATGTCATCTGCTGGTGTTGGTCCACTGTGCTTCATTAAGTCCAGGGTCAACGCAGCCATCTACCAGGAGATTTTGGAGCACTTCATGCGTCCTTCCGCAGACAAGCTTTATGGGGATGCTGAGTTCATTTTCCAGAAGTACTTGGCACCTGCCCACACTGCCAAAAGCACCAAAACCTGGTTCAATGACCGTGGGATTACTGTGCTTGATTGGCCAGCAAACTCACCTGACCTGAACCCCATAGAGAATCTATGTGGCATTGCCAAGAGAAAGATGAGAGACATGAGACCGAACAATGCAGAAGAGCTGAAGGCCGCTATTGAAGCATCCTGGTCTTCCATAACACCTCAGCAGTGTCACAGGCTGATAGCTTTCATGCCACATTGAAGCAGTAATTGCTGCAAAAGGGGCCCAGACCAAGTACATATGTATGCTTATACTTTTCAGAGGTCCGACATTGTTCTATATGTACAATCCTTGTTTTATTGATTGCATGTAATATTCTAATTTTCTGAGATTGTGGGGTCTTCATGAGCTGTAAGCCATAATGATCACAATTATGACAAATCACGGTTTGAACTATCTTGCTTTGCATGTAATGAGTCTATCTCATATTAGTTTCACCTTTTGAGTTGCATTACTGAAATAAATGAACTTTTGCACGATATTCTAATTTTTAGAGTTTCACAAGTGTGTCTGTGTGTAATTTTTTTTTTTTTTTTTTTTTTTTTTTTTTTTTTTTTTTTACACACACGCATATACACACACCATTGTTTGTGGACTCTATAATTTTCCTACAGAATAAAAAAAAATAAATTTTTTTTTAAATTTTGTAAAATAAAAACGAAGAAAAATGTGGGTTTTTTTTTCCCAAAATGGTCTCTTTTTTTCATTAATTTAGCAAAAAATTAAAAAAAAGTCAATGATGATTAAATATCACCAAAAGAAAGCTCTAGTTGTGTGAACAAAATCAAAAAAAGTTAGTTTGGGTACAGCACTGCATGCCTGCGTAATTGTCATTCAAAGTGCGAGAGTGCTAAAAACTGGCCTGGGCAGGAAGGGGATAAAACTGCCCGGTACTGAAATGGTTAAACATATATGACACAAAACACACATGGGTCACCACTGCCCATAAGGCTATTAGGCGCACACTGTACCTGAAAGATCCCCAGTAACAGCAGATGTGCCAAAGTAATATCCACGGGGCAAACGCACGCCAGGTACATCCACACAATCTCTCCATTCTTGTTTTCCATCAATATCTAGCATGACCTGCAAGTGAGGTGCAGAGTGGAGAGTGGAGGGACTTAGTGAAATGAAGGAGGCAGGTAATGAAAAAGAATCTTAAGAATTTAGCAAGACTGATGTACTGTACTGTCATACCTGAAGATAAGCCGTGTACAATGTATTCTTTTTAACAGAAACTTCAGCAGTTTCATTACAAAAATTCTCCATAGCCCCACTAGCCAACACAACTAATCCAAGCAAAAGAAACTTTAAACTAAAATTTCAAAAAGGAGATACTGGCCTTTCATTAACATTATCAAATCGCTCCACTTCCTTTTCTAAATCAGTGCGTTTGATGGTTGAGGGCCAGCTTGACAAAAAACGGGGAAATGCTGAGCACCCACTCGTTAAAACATACAGTATAAATAACACAGCAAACTCTTCAGAAGACAAAATGAGAGATACAGATATAGCAGCTGTTATCTGTAATTATACATTAAATCTGTAGAAACCAACTCTGAATTTTTTTAGACCTTTTTCTAGATAGATAAGACACCTTTCCAAAATTAGAAAACACTAGATTTTAAAATATATTAAACCACAGTAGGTTTTAAAATATCTACGTTTCCTCATACAAGCCCCCAAACCAATAAGACCTTCCATTTCTTAACAGAATGACTTTGGAGGAAACTCTGGTGATGTAACCTGTGTATACTGCAGCATTTATACATTCAAGGAGCCTGGTACTGAATGCATTTCTATTTACTATACACTAATGAAATGGATAGGCCTCCTAAAATGGATACAGTATTTCTCTCTTTTTCCACATGCTAGAGACTTAAATCTGCTGATGATATATCTGTGCTGGCTGTGTCCATTATGGGTTTTTACTTCCCCTGCGAGTTTAATAAAAAAAAAAAAAGAAGTGCATTTATTTTTTTACCAAAAGGAACCTGCAGAGCATCACACCCGTGATCAGCAGATCAAAAGTGTAATGCCATGATCTTGAAGACTCTGAAACTGCTGTCATCCCATACGGATTACTGAACTGCGGGCAGATTAATGAACTATAAGAGCGCTCATCAGCACCCTCACAGTTTGCCAATAAAAGCTGTCTACCGCAATGGAAGACTGTAGTCCATTTATAGAATAGATACTGAACTGCAGGATGATCAAATAACTACGAAAGCGCTCAGTTCACTGAGAACTAAAAGTCATCTGCCGCAATGGCAGACAGCTCTTGTAGTCTATTCATTCATGGAGCTCTGAATGAATAATGCGGTTGTGTGGCTGAAGCCCTGCACTGCCACACCATTTTCAAATTGTGACAAAAGGTGTGGAGAGAAGATTCCCCGCCTGCTATCATGTGGAATACACCCAATTTATAGGTGTAACATGTTCAGGAAGGTGAAGTTAGTCTTTAAAGATTTTGTAGAATCTAAAAGGGGACATGCTTGAAAGTGCAAAGGTGGGTAGCACCCAAACTCCCAGGTGTCAGACTATATGACTGGGGCTTTTGCTGACTCCTGATCAGGATCTAACTAGAAGCAAAATATCATTGTCGTGAGCTGTACGACAGGAAAGTATACATACAGAAAATGGTTGTTATGTGATATTAATGCTTGTTCAAAAAGGACTGAAACTCAGAGTCCATGGTAGAACAGGATAATATTTGGCTGATTTTACCTCTGACTGGAAAATATAGAAAATAGAGTTCCCAAGCCACTAAAAGTCTCATTACCTCCCCGTAATTCATGAATATACTATGCGTATAAAGAATAAAGTTTAAAATGAGGTGGACAGGGAAAAAAGAAAAAAGGGGTAGGAGGAGGGGGGGGAAAAAAAAGAAAGAAAAACAAGACAAGCAAGATAAGAAAACTAGGGAAGTGGCACAGAACAGGAACAGCAAAAAACAAAGAATGAAAAACACTCCTCAGAGACTGGAAAATTCTTACTGTGAGTCTGCGTTTGACGTAACGGATGACCAGAAAAGTGTCATGGTTGAGATTTCGCACCATGGCTGTACAACCTCCGATTTCAGTAAGACGGCCATCTCTGCTGTGATCGTATGTCAGAGACCCATTGCTCACCATTGCCGAAACAAAGGGAAACACACGCTGTCAGGAGACAAAGTTTGCATTATGAGGATCTACAGGTAGCCTGTTTTTAATATGTTGAACAGTCAATTTCCATAAGGGAGTACAAACTTTTTCACATGACTGTATGCACCATGGAATGATCTAGCTCCTGCAATGTAGTGAAAGCAAACCAGAAAACTCCCTGGACTGTCAAGTACAGCTCATACTGGAGTACCAAGATGTATTTCCAAACAGTTTCAAAAAGGAATACATTTTCCAACTTCAAAAAATTCATGGTTTCAATTTAGGCAACCAGAAAAAAGGTCCTTTCCCTTCCAGTATGATGAGCGTTTGAAAATGGAGCAGGGCCCAGAAAAAGCAAAAATGTACAAATGTGCATTATAGTAAAGCCATAGTTCTGAAAAATGCCATTTCTACTGCTTGCTTAATTACTGACAACATACTGTATTAATCCCTTTGCTCTGGATTATACAGAAAACATTTCTGTAAAACAGACAAAAAAATAAAAAAAAAAAAAAAAAAAAAAAAAACGGCACCAGATGGAGTAAGGCTACGTTCACAGTAGCGTTGTGTGCAGGCGGAAGAGAGGCATTTGGGAAGCGTTTTTACCACTTCTCAAACGCCTCGGACAATTCTGCATATTGCGCGATTCTAACGGGAGCGTTAGCGTTGCGTCAAAACGGATGCCTCTGGTCGAGTCAGGGAGGAGTTGAAGTCTCCTATTCTAGTCTATGGTGCCGGTCCGCAAACGCCCAGCCGGCGTTTGTGGTGTGGTTGCAACGCAGTTGCGGGGCATTTGCGGAGCGGTAACACCATTCAAACTTCATTCTAGGTGTTTGTGGGGCGTTTTTAACGCTCAGCAAACGCCTAGCAACCGCTGCTAAACCGCGCATGCGGCGTTTGTGGAGCGTTAAAAAACGCTCTGCAAACGCCGGACCAACGCTTGCCAAACGCTATAGGGGCGTTTGGCAAGTGTTGATAAAACAGTCAAGTGTGAACGAGCCCTTACTGCTCCGCAAACGCGTCGTAACCACACCGCAAATACCGGCCGGTATAGACTAGAATAGGAGGCTTCAACGCCTCCTAACTCGACCAGAGGCGTCCGTTTTGCCGCAACGCGACGCTAACGCTCCCGAACAGCACCATGTGCTGCAATGTACAGAATTGTCCGAAGCGTTTGGGAAGCGGTAAAAACGCTTCCCAAACGCCTCTCTGCCGCCTGCACACAACGCTAGTAGTGTGAACGTAGCCTAAGGGATGCAGTTAATAAGATTGTTTTCTGTGATGCGAAGGGCGGGAGGGGCTAGACAGACTAGCTTCCCAAGATGCATCTGGAAAGCAGAAGGCACATGGGTTTGTTGTGAGGCTAGGGACCGAATTAGATTTAATTGTCTAGCACAATATATTGCATTTTTGACTACGTTGTGGGGCCTCCCGTGTAAATGTGCATCGTTTAACTTTAGACTTTAGGTTTACTTTAAGCAAAACAGATTCCAGATACACTGATCAGCCATAATTTTAGGATCACTGACCACACATTCACACTAAATAGGCTGTCTTACTACAATGCAGGTTAACATGCATTTGGTGATACACCTACAATATACTTTTTTTTTTATTTTGTGGTGCAATACTCAGGTGTCCACAAACATTGGCACCCCTACATTTCTGTCAGATAATGCACCACTTTGCCCAGAAAATTGTTGCAATGAAAAATGTTTAGGAATTCTCATGTTTATTTCTTTTGTTTGTATTGGTATGACACAACGTGGAGAGACAAAAAGCCAAATCTGACACATTCCATGAAAACCCCACAAATGGACTGGCCAAAATTATTGACACCCTCAATTTAACCACTTGCCCTCCTGAGGATTTACTACCCCCCCACCCCCCTTCCTGACCAGCCCATTTTTTGCATTGCGGCGCTGCGGTACTTTGACAATTGCGTGGTCATGCAACGCTGCACCCAAATGAAATTTACATCCTTTTTTCCCCCCACAAATTGAGCTTTCAGTGGTATTTGTCTGTGCATTTTTTATTTTTTGTGCTATAAAAAAAAAAAAAAAAAAAGAAGGACAATTGAGAAAATAAAATATATATATTTGACCTTTGCTATTAAAGATCCAGTAAAAATGAAGAAATGAAAAAAATTGTCAAAATTTACGCCAAAGTGATCAGTGCGATAAAAAAAAAAAAAAAAAAAAAAAAAAAAAAAAAAGGCACTGACTGTACTAATGGCACTGGGCAGGAAGGGGTTAACACCAGGGGCGATCAAAGGGTTAATTGTGTGCTGGGAGTGTTTTACAGAGAAGGCAGTGTGTGTGGGTTTTATGGTAATCACATTGCTCTGGATGGGTGTGTAGAGCTGACAGGGAGGAGGACTGTTAGTAAACAAAGCAGTCCTCCTCCCCATCGGAGATACTTGGTAATCACAGGGCGCAGGCGGGGAATCACCGGCCGGGACCCGCAAGTGTCAGCGTGGGTAGGGCTTGCGCGCGCCCCCTACCCAGGAACACAAAATGATGTGTGTATATATACACACACACACACACACACAAGTGATTTTGCACACTCCTGCTGCCCTGTAGCAGTATATCTGCTAGAGGGTGATCGGGAAGCGGTTAACATTTGATAGCACACCCCTTGGAAAAAATAACTGAAATTGCTTCCTGTAAGCATCAATGAGTTTCTTACACCTCTCTACTGGAATTGTGGAACACTCTTCTTTAGCCAACTGCTCTAGGTCTCTCAGATTGGAAGGGTTCCTTTTCCCAACTGCTTTACCTCTCTCTACAGGTGTTCTATGGGATTGAAATCTGGACTCATTGCTAGCCTGTTCAGTACTCTCCAGTGCCTGAAACCATTTCTGGGTGCTTTTTGACAAGTGCTTTGGGTCATTGTTCTGCTGTAAGACCCATGAACCTCTGACGGAAACCCAACTTTCTGACACTGGTCCCTACATTGCACCCCAGAATTCTTTGGTAGTCTTCAGATTTCAAAATGCCATGCACACGGTCAAGACATCCAAGTGCCTGAAGCAGTAAAGCAACCCCAAAACATCAGTGAACCTCCACCTTTCTTTAAGGGCCTCATTTCTTTTTCTGAAAACAGTAGAATGATGGGGTTTACCAAAAAGCTGTAATTTTGTTTCATCTGTCCACAGCACACATTCTCCCAAAAGGATTTTAGCTTCATTAGTTAAGTTTTGGCAAACTCCAATCTGGCCTTTTTAGGTTTCTGTGTCAGCAGTGGGGTCCTCCTGGGTCTCTTACCATAGCGTCCCTTTTCATTCAGATTGGGACGTATAGTGCGAGCTGACACAGTTGTACCCTGTGCCTGAAGGTCAGCTTGAATTTGTCTGGAAGTTGATTAAGGTTGTTTAACCACCATTCGTTGCAATCTTTGATCAACTTTTCTCAAAACATCTTCCAGGGCAGCCCCTTGACGTAGAGCTCCTCCGGGACAAGAAACATGCAAGCCCTGAATCTTAAAAGGTGGACCTCCAGGCCTCACAACAATAAAACACAAAACTCATAACTCTGCCTTATGGTACTCTATTTGCTAAGATGACCCAAAACTGAAGACGCCTAAACACCGTGCTCATGTTTAACCTCCTTATGATCTATGTGATCAAATAAAGTATTGTTTGGAATATTTTTGAATTCCCTCCGCGTGGATCACCTAGTAACCTTCTTTTTCCAGGTAGGGGTGTTCTTGTCACACTACCATTTTGCTTAGTATGGACCTCCAGGCCTCCCTTTTCAGTATTAGGGTTTCCTCCGGAAGGACAGGTACATGTTCAAAGGAACCTGTATTGGATCGCTAGGCTCAAGGGTGGTGCTGGTGGCTCCTGTTTTTGGTACAGTACCTCCCCTTTGCCTGGCGCGATCCCTCCATGTCTGCAGAGGAGTGGGGCTGCGCTCCTGGTGGCCTTCCAGTCCTCAAAGGAGGAGGACCACCGATGATGTCCAGTGCTACTGCCGAGGGCAGAGTCAGCTTCCTTGACTGCTGGGCGGGCGTGCAGCCGCGACTTCTGGGAGGCGGAGCAGCTGCGCTCCAAGCTGGTTAACCGGAAGTTCCGGTCGCCGGGAGACTCATGGTTCCAGTCTCCATAGCGGCACAGACAACAGGCTCTGGCGGCTGGTGCAGTGTGAGAGACCCAGCAGATGCTGTGGCAACCACACCACAAGGGACACGATGGAATGCGCTGGCACCCCCTTCCCAGCAGGAATACCCTGGCTCCTCAGGCACCGGCTCCTCTCAGGTAGGCTTGAGGACTTGTGGCTCCCTCTTGCCGATTCCTGGGGGTGGTCTTTTCTCCCAGTCTCTGAGTGTCAGGTGACGGTGGGGCACACTTCCGTTTTCCCCCAGCACAGTGGTGTTTGGATGAGGAGCCCAGGCTGATTAACTTATGTATTGCGTTTTCTGCTTGTTAAAACCCAGGACAAGACACAGAATCAGGCCCCTAAAAGGAAGTGTGCAGTTTGTGCAGCAAAATTGGATTCAGCTTGGGAAAAGCCCTTATGCTGCAATTGTGTGGATAGTCTAAGGATGAGTCATTTAAGAGCCTGCCATAGGGTACTCACCTCCATTAAGGATGACATGACAACTATATTTCAGTAATTTAGATCCCTGCTGGATAGAATGCAGATGCCGCTGGGGCCTTGGACCCAGTCTGTGGGTACTGCGGTATCAAAAGCATTGAGAAGGGAGGAGGGCCCGGAAGAGGATCCGAGGTCCCTTGCTTCCTCACAGGCAGGTTCGGGCTTAGAGGATGACAACGGTGAAGCTTGCTCCTCCAGGAGGTTCCAGGTACAAAATTGGCCCTTGATGATGTAGATGACCTCCTTAAGGCTATCTATGAAACCTTAGAGATCAAGAAGGATGTATGTCTGTCTAAGCATCACCTCACGTATCAGGGTCAACATGCTAAAAAGACTAGGGTCTTTCCAGGCCATAGTTCCCTGGTTGATACCATTTAAGCTTGGAGTGGGAAAACCCTGAAAGGAAGACTTTTT